ATTTTAATTAGTGCGGATTATTCAAATTTCATTTGTGTACGAAGTTATAATGCACCGCCCAGACTACGCCTGAGGAATTTGAAAACGGAGGTTTCACTCTAAAAGCGCATGAAATATTTTCGTCCACACTACGCCGGAGAAATTTTAAAACGCAACAATCACCGGTCGTTTTGGATTTGTGTTTGAGGAAAACTCCGGCAGGGAAATCATGTGATTATCGTGACGTCATCGTTTTCGAAAAGCTCCGTTTTCAAAGTGTTTTCCGTCCACACGAAAACAAAAAGCCGGCTCTTTCAAATTCCTCCGGATTTAAGAGTGGGTTTTCGAAAATCTCCGTTTTCGTGACCGATTAGTGTGGACGGTGGGCCCATCTGTAGAAGTAAAGCTGCGTTTTCAAATTTCTCCACTGAGCGTAGTGTGGACGATGCCTGAGTGAAAAAGTGTTTTTGCTTTCTTTTTTATTCCTAGAAACCTTCCAACAACTCATATTCTGATAGCAAAGCAGATAATTATTAGCAAACTNGTACGAAGTTATAATGCACCGCCCAGACTACGCCGGAGGAATTTGAAAACGGAGGTTTCACTCTAAAAGCGCATGAAATATTTTCCGTCCACACTACGCCGGAGAAATTTGAAAACGCAACAATCACCCGTCGTTTTGGATTCGTGTTTGAGGAAAACTCCGGCAGGGAAATCACGTGATTATCGTGACGTCATCGTTTTCGAAAAGCTCCGTTTTCAAAATGTTTTTCTGTCCACACTAAAACCAAAAGCCAACATTTTAACATTCCTCCTGATTTAAGAGTGCGTTTTCGAAAAGCTCCGTTTTCAAAATGTTTTTCTGTCCACACTAAAACCAAAAGCCAACATTTTAACATTCCTCCTGATTTAAGAGTGCGTTTTCGAAAATCTCCGTTTTCGTGACGGATTAGTGTGGACGGTAGGCCTATCTGTAGAAGTAATTAAAGCTGCGTTTTCAAATTTCTCCACTGAGCGTAGTGTGGACGGTGCCTGAGTGAAAAAAGTGTTTTTGCTTTCTTTTTTTATTCCTAGGAACCTTCCAACAACTCATATTCTGATCGCAAAGCAGAGGATTATTAGCAAACTGGATTGTCTTCCAGGGTCGTCCAGTCTTTCAGCGGGATGAATTAAGAAAGACACTGGCCTAGAATCAAGCCTTGCCAACGAGACACATCAGTGAACTTATATAACGTTAAGCCTGTTACTCCCTGACCCTAAGATGAGTAATGCCCGTATGTTTATATATAAGTGCCTTATTTAACTTCTTTAAAATCTTCTACAACGGAGATTATCATTTTGAAATTTCTTTTTTTTTTCCAAATGGCCAGCCAACTGTGATTTTTTTCTTCCTGACATCCGCTCTCAGACGCGGAATT